CCCAAATTTAAAATAAAATATTAATTATTAAATTTTTATTTGACCATTAAATCTAAATGAGAAAACACAAAATTCTTAGAAAAATATAATTACTAAGATGAAGCTTCTAAAGGTTAAATTCAATATGGCTTGATAAAAATTGTAATATAAGGAAACGACAATTTGGGTGCACCATAAAGTTGATCAATCGATATTATTTGAAATCAATATTTGATTTAATACAATTTCTCAGCACGCAAGAGCTCCCTCTTCATTTATCTGATTCCACTAAAATTACTGATGTTTCAGATAAAAATATAATTTAATCTTCAGGACTTTTTATTACAATATTTTCGTACACCTGCCAAATTTTTTTTGATAAAATCAATACCAAAAAATGTCCAATACACTTCAAAATGTCATATCTATTTCTGTCTTATGCCTGATGTGACAGAATGCAACAGGTTATTAAAATTTGAGTTTAATTATTTCATATATCTTTTGTGGAAAAATCCAAATGAATGTAATAGATTAATCTAGAAATATTGCTAATGCATTACAAATTGCATTTAAAAACAACTTAGTGATTTTATGATAAATTTATAATATAATAAGAGAGGCGTATGATGGTGCAAATTTAATGTCTGATCAAAATTGAATATTACAATTTGCTCTAAAAATGTTTTTGTTTATATCATAGTTGCATCTTATTGTTAATAATTGGTATAATAATGTTCCTGTAATTTTTAATTTACATTTAGCAAATGCCACACTATTTTTTGTTACAGGCCATACTCCTAAGATAATTTTGGAACAAAGATGAACTGATCATTTCTAAAGATCTCGTATCCGTTGTCAGTGTCTTAAGGAAATTATTATTTTACTTTTCTAATTAAACTCTTAACTCGGAAGTTTTCACTCACACTGGTCATTTTTTGTCTCAATACATGAATATTAATTATATTATTGACCTTTCTAATTTATAAAATATTAGTAATCATTGGTCCATTAATTATTTTTTAGTAGATACCAATATTGTGGTTGCTTAAATAGTGTTAACCATAATAAATATATTAAAAAATAAAAGAGGTGAAAATTTATTAGATTTCGTGAAACGTGATATATAGCGCTTCTGCCCTCTAGCGTTGAAGGTTCAACAGAGCTACGCTAGGTTTTCCTCATTTCCATCTAATTGGAATTATTTAATTTGGGTAAAAAAGTAAAAATATGAGGAGCCCTCTACACGTTTGTGGGCAAGCCCCACGTACTTGTAGGCACAAAACCTCTATAGGCTTATTAAAAAGGAGTGGGGCAAAAAAAGAGCCTATATTAGAGAACTACAGTATAATTTAATTACTTTAAATGTGGGTGATGGCTGATTTTAAGTTTAATTTCTTTAGTGTAAGTTATGAATACTATCAATAGTGAGATATAATGTTCATAAAATCTGTAAATAAATATGAGTAAAATAAAAAATATTTGCCTGATTCAACCCATACAATACAGTTCTATCACTTCAAATTTTCCCCTTATAGGAATCTGGAATATCATTATTTTCTAAAGCCATGCTATTTTGAATGAATCAATTTATTAGATTTGAGAAAGATAAAAATCTTATATAAAAATTTAATTTGATCTCAAAAAATTCCTCAAGGTTGATAAATTTCTAAAAATCTTATGATTTTTTGGTTGGCATAAAATTGAAATTTAATTGTATAAAAAACTCTAATTGGAGTTCTTTAAAAAATGATTATAATGTTTTTTAGAAAGATTTCATGACAATGATTATAATCTTGTATCTTGTGTTGGCCCCAATGCATCCTTATTAAAAACAATGATACTGAAACATTAAATCAATAAATGAAAATCACAAAGGAATTATTAGAAGCGGAATTAGCAGGAAGATTTGATTTTGAAAATATTATTATAATATCATATATAAATAAATGCCATATCATATTTAAAAAAATTCATAAGCGTAGCCAGTTGAGAGGGGGGCAAAGGGAAACCCCCCCCTCCTTCAGAAATTTATCACTTTTTGTGAATATCATTTTAAGCTAATAAAAAATATCCCTCTTAGTCCTCCCCCCAATCCCTGACCCCCAAAAATGTATGCATATATCTTAAACAATAATTTTAAAGAAAGAATGTAAAAGTTGATATTATTTTAAACTAAAACTATTTATCAAAATTTAAAAATTTTGGAAAAAAACATTTATATATAAAAAAAGTAAACCAAAAATGTTTTTAAACAAATGTAATATAAGTCAAAGATAAGTCTTAAGACTAAAGTGAAATGTATTATAATTATAATTATTATAATAGATAAATAAAATTACTAAATTATATAATATATCAAATATAATTTTTTATAAAGTGAGTAAAATAAATTTATTTATTCTAATAAAAGTAAAATATAATTATAAAACTATTGATAAAATTAATCATAAATTAAATAAAAAAAATTAAAGCACAATACAACCAGTGGAATATTATATGTCGTAGATTTACTTTATATCTAATTTTATCAATTATCATATGACAATCAAATAATTTTTACCAATATAGAAAATTAAATTATATATTTTACATAAAACTATAAAATATTGATAAGGACATCTAAAGACATTGTGGGATGAATAATATAAGGATTAAATTTTAATATCATTTTTTATATAAAAAATAATAAATGGCGTTAAATAATTGAGTGCAAATTGTTGCTATATTTATTATCAAGAGTAGTGTTGTTAAACGGCTCGTTTTGAGCCGTATTTTAAAAACGGCTAACTCAATATTTCATACAGAAAAATATTACGTAAGCCTGAATATTTTGCTTAAAGAAGGAACAAAGGTCTAGACATATATTATCAAAATCTTGAGGCTTAGGCAATATTTTTCTGGCTAAAATATTGAGTTAGCCGTTTTAAAAAATCGGCTCAAAACGAGCCGTTTAACAATACTAATCAAGAGCATTGATTAGTAAAATTTGATAAAATATTAACTGAAATATATTCTCTTACTATCAAATATGTTTGTAAAAGTGGAACCTAGCATTTGTAATTTGTAACCAATTTTATATAATAGAATAATATCAACTATATATCTACTTACTTTTTATAAATAAACATCATATATTTGTTTGGAATAAATAATTACCATGCTTTTATATTAATGTATTTACAAGTAATTTATTATATTTCATAGAAACTAATAAAAATTTTGCTCCAGGCTTATTAACCTCCTATCTTGTAAAAATATTTAATGACTATATATAGACTAAGGGGACAAAATCGGGCTGAAGACCCGCCCAGAATGGAGTTTGTGGGCGAAGCCCCCAGAAATTTTTAATTCCCCCCGCCCCATTAAGAAAATCCTGGCTACGCCTATGAAAGAACAATATAAAGGCTATTCAGCGGCTAATCAACAATTTCTTAGGCTACATTCTTTACACTCAAAAAAGTTTTACCGGCACCAAAGAATCTATGAAAGTTAAACGAAAACAATAAGTTCTTGTAAAAAAATATAAAAAAATAAAATTTAGCTTATTTTATTTATGTTAAAATTTGAATTGTCATATTATATATTATGGCATTATTGTTATATGTATTAAGAAAATTGCAACAAAATAACAAATATTTTATAAGTGTATTAAAGTGTATTACAATTTGTAATATTTTAAAAAATACTGACCCCCCCCCCCCCCCCCCAGCTTAACTAAAAATTTCTGACTAATGGCCTGCATATAGATAAATTTATCAAGTCATGTAGAAACAGAAAATATTATTCACTCTATGGACAATAAAGGACTACTTAAGGTTGTATGCCGTTTCAAAAACTAAATTATCCGCTTTTTTTATGATGGAATTTTAAAAAGATATGTTACCATTGTATAGGTGAAATACTTTTATTCAGTTTACTCTGGATTATATATTAATAATAAAATCTCATTAATATGTGAGGAGAATATATATAATAGTGATAAAATTAATAATATTAAACGTCATGTTGGTTAAAAGTCTTCAACAGATTGTTCTTTTAGACAATTGAGTGTCTATTATTTTTGCTAAAAAATGTAATATTAAATATATCATTTAATAATTATTTATGTATTATCTAAATTAATGCACGAATAAATAGATGATAAAATAAATATTTCATATGGTTTACATATGTACAAATGAATAGAAATAGATTTTATTGATAAAATTATATATCAGCTTAATTTTTCTGTGTTTTCTTTCATAATTGGTATTAATTGTTCTTACTCCAAGTTTAAATTTAAATTGTAAAGATTTAATTAGAAATTAGTAAATATCATCATCATACATTATTTCTATTAAAAATTAGATCAATATTGAATCCTCTTACATGAATATTATAATTTATATTCAAAATTAATATTTTTATATATCAAAAATATCTATAAAGATAATATATCAAATGAGTTAATAAATAATAAGATTAAATTTATAAAAAGTTAATGATCATATCATGAATATAAACATATATTGTTAAATACCAACTCCCCCACCCTTGCTCGTGTAACCGCTACCCATGTCCCCTTCAAACAAATGATTACTAATCCTATTTAACTTTTAATAAATCAAATACAGGAATCGATAAAAAAAAAGTCATAAATATGATAAAAGATATTTTGGTAATTGTTTAGTAAATTTAGGTAAATCTTTACTCTTAAGGGTTAGGTTTATGGATTTTTTATTAAAATGTACGAAACAAACATACTCTTTGAATATGCATTTATTTGATAAATCTTTTGCAATATGTTAAATTATTATCTTATTCAAAATAAGTATAATTATCTAAAACACAATTTACGCAAATGGATTATTAAAATTAAATCAAATTTTAATCCATTTCAATCAATTTATCCTTTATATTTTATTATTTTAATAATTCTAAATAACAGTTATTACTTATACTCTTTTCGTATTATAGTATACTTTAACTTAATATTACACTTAATTTACACTATATTTTCTCAATTTAACATTTATTTTTGGTTAAATTTGTATAAATATAAATATGAAAATCATTCTTCAAAATCTATAAATAAAACATATCAACTCATAAATAATAACAATATTGAGACTTTATATATAATATTCTCTATAATCGGGGCATTTTTTGGAGAACTTCTTGACATAACATTGTTTGGGTGTTCAACAGACATGTTTAATTTTTCAAATATCACAATACTTACAATTTCGATATTAATTTCCCAAGTTTTATTAACAAAAATATTAAATTTTAATGAAAAAACTAAAATAAATTCATTTTTGATATTTTTTATTCAATTAACAAGATTTTATACTTTTAATATGTTTTATTTTATTACAAAAAACAATGATGAAAATAAAATAAATTTAAACTCATATAACATAATATTGTCTATATTCCATTATTTCTCAAGTGCTATTGGCATAACAATCGCACATTTTTATATGTGTTTTAATGATTCTTATAAAAATGAGGATAGTAACCTAACACCATTTACTACTTTGACAAAATATAAAAAAACACTTAAATATCCAAAAAATCTTGCTAAATCCAGGAGAATATCATTGCCTGTTATGTGGAAAATAAAGGTAATATTTTATAATTACCAATGTTTAAATTTTTATATCTCATTTGATTTAATCTTTTATTGAACTGCATTAAAATAGTGAAACCTCTAAAGGAGTTTCAGAATGGAGTAGTTACCCATTTTGATTAATATATAAATAGATAGTAAATATGTAGAGGTAAATTTTGAGACAAGCATTAATAATTGACTCACCTAAAACAGTCTAGATAATGAATTATTCTAGAAGAGGTGCTAACTTTAGTGGTTTCATAAATATTTTAAACAAAATTTTGATATGAACCCTAGATATTTTAATTATAATTTTTTTTTATATTAATTCATTTTGTAGTTTAATATTATTTTAGTTATGATGCAGAGCATTGTCTAAGGGTAAGTTTATAAGGCTCTGATTTACTGTATTGCAAACCTATTTAAAGTTTTAAAAAATGCTCAGCAGAGACAAAAATCAATTAAAAAATTTTATTAATAAAGTTTTTTCATAATGAATGAAATAATTTATTTATACTATTTAAGATGTCAGCTTTTGATATGTGATAGTTTCCATGACAAACTAATTTATGCAAAAAAATAAATAGATTTTACCAAGATATATACTTATATTTAACCAATTTTCTTATTTTAATTCTTTATCAAAATCTTATTTATAATTGTATATTTTGCTTTGAATATTGTTATAATATTTTTACTACAGAGAAAATATATAATACCTCTAAAAGAAGTAAGTAATAAAATTATGTATATTACTCTTCATTATCTATACAGAGTTAATCAATCAAATTTATTTTTATGTCCTTTTATTTTAATTTAAAAGTAAAAATAGAGATTTGTAACTTGTCCTTTTAAAATTATTATATATAAATTAAATATATTTTGACATCCAATTGATGACATGCAATCAAAATCAGTGATCACCAGGTAGGACAGCACTGGCCTATCCTGCATAAATTGAGTTAAACAGTTTTGATTTGAGCAAAACGTCTTTTTAATAAAAATTATCCATTAGGAACCAGTTTTTGGATTGCTTTGTCATTCAATATTTTTGTCATACCACTTAAAGATTTATTTTGTTAAAAATTATATTCTAATCACCTCAAATTTAAAATATGAGTCATTTTTTATAATATAAGATATAAAATTAACCAATCATATTTTTATAGCAGACTAAGTATTAAAATATTTAATAAAAAAAATATATATTAAATTATAAAAATCAAGCAAATTTTTCAAAAAATAAAGTACTAATTTTGATATATTTAAGGAGGATTGTAAAAAAAATAACAAAGACCTATTTTTTTGCGAAATCATCTAATTAATCAACATTTAATTTATTTTAAAACGAAAAATATGAATATTTAATTTTTTTTTATTCAATCTTTTTCTCATTTTTTTTGTCATCCTCGCAAAACGAGGATTATGGAAAAGGGATACCATTATAATCATCTGTAAAACACGAAATTATTATAATCAAGTTGAGCTGAAAAATGGTAACCGCGACCCTTATATCCAATTTATATACAACTTTTTCGTACGAATTGAAAAGTTTCTTCTTTAACGAACAAACATGCCCCTTATTGTATCTAATTGACCCCATTGTTGGGCATAGCAAATGTATTTTCCTTTTTATTACCGAATTAGAATTAGTTCTTGTTCTTCAAGAATTTGGAATATAATCCGCACTAAATATAGAAGATAAAATTGCCCCACCCCCTTCATCAATTTTTCTTTAAATTAAAATTTTTACTCTAATTAATTAATTTTTTAAACAAAATTTTATACCTTCATATTATAAAAATGCATTGTATGCACTATATACATCCATCGTCGGGTATTTTATTCACAAAATTATCTTAGATATGCTAATGAAAACGCCAATGAGCCAAGTTTTTCTTTACCAATATTTTTTTTTTGCCCAAATATTACAACCTAAGCTTATCTACAAGGTGTAACGTGTATCGATATTGCAAACGTAAGCGATCTATAAAGTTTACTACGCGCTTTTGAACCCATATTATCGCTACATACATTTTAATAAGAAATTTTAGACGCTTGCCAACTGATGTGACAAACCTTCGATATCATCTGCTCATTAACTGCAATCGAAAGTCTTATAGAGTTTGCAAACTAAGCCTAGGCTTTTAGCGTTGTGTTTTTCTATATAAAATTTTTTTTATTGTGGCGGTTTTTTTTAACGAAAAGGCAACAAATTTATTCACAAAAAGTTTCGTAAAAAATTTGATGAATTTTTCGTAATAATAGAAATTCTAAAGATGGAGTTTTCGGAAGCCAAAAATTAGCATAAAATTATAAAAGAAAAAATGTCTTCATATTCATTGCTCTCGAGAGAATAACACAGCATTTTGTGTTAGAACGCAAAAATAATTGGTCAAAATGCCGTTCCTGCTCACTTGATCATTCATCATCTGGTCTCGAGAAAATAAGGACTCTTTATGTTAGAACGCAAAGCTAAAAGACCAAGAAAAGCTCCGCTCATTAGCATTGATATTTCTTCAAGATAATATCGTTAGTTCAAATCCCTGGTTAAATAGTCTCCCCACAACCTAGACGGAAAATCAAGCCAAATCGGGCTTTATAGCAATCCTAAACAGCATGTAAGGCCATTTTGCTTAAAAAAATACAAAATTTGATGGCTAAATTTATCTGAAAATTCATGGATATTTTTTTGGTAAAATATTGGGTTAGACTTTTTTTAATAATCTAGTAGTTTAACAACTCTATTTTACCCAGTATTCAGGCTTAAAATGGATATACTAGGGTAAAGTGGTTAAAATAAAATGAACCCAATTTCATTGTTATATTAAATAAAATATTGCTATTACTTTTAAGTATAATTAATCACAACATTTAAGAGAATGTAAAGAAATTATCAAAAATAGCACATTTCAAGTTTGTCCATTTTAGGTCTTCACCTTTGTGACTATTTTTTTAAAAATTTTATTCCAAATCACACGCAAATTATTAATATTCCCTTTTGCTCAAAAATATCTTATTTTTATATGGTGTTGGTAGACATTAATATTTAAAATTCTTTAACCTTTTTTTATAGCTTTAATTTTTACTCATTTACCCCGAGTTAATATATATTATAAAAATCGTTATTGCGCGACTTCTAGTTAAGCTATAAACTTCAAATTTTATTTTATAGCTAAGACTTTAATGAACTTGTTATACGAACTTTTAAACCATGAGCATGAATATAATTTGCTAAAAGCAAAATGAATAGACAGGGTTATAGTTTTTGACTGTTTTTGGGCTATAATACAAACCAGGAAGATTAAAAAGATGAACATAAGTAAAGATAGTGGCTAAACGGGCCTATTCGAGTCGATTTTTAAAAAACAGCCCGATTAAGATTTATATTATTTAATACTGGAGATTTCGCTCATAGAAGAAAGGTTTGAACCTATATTTGTTAAATCTCGAGGCCTACATAATATTATTATATGGCTAAAATTTTAATCGGGCCGTTTAACAACACTAGGTAAAAAGTTAGATATAAAAGTGTCCCATCAATCGCTTTAGCTCAGTTCTTTCTCTCTTACTTACACGAGGATTTTCCTTGCAGGTTATTCCGAACAACTTAATGGCTAGAGCATACATAAAGCATACTATATATGGCATTTGATTTTTTATTATAAATCTCTAATTTTTCTTGTAAAATCGTTTAATATATGCATGTTTAAAAGAAAATTAAAAAAATTCTTAAATTAAATTAATTTACATCTGTTTATAACTTATAATCTTAGCTAATAAAGTGTTATATAAAATCATATTCACGATGTTACTCACTGAAAGTCAAAAAAAAATTAATATTGAAAATTAGCATATTATGGTTATACTTTTATAATTACAGGTAATTATATTCAACTAAAATTTTCAAATTTGAATAAAATATCTATCACCTCGCATTCGCCGCGAATTCGAGTTAACTGTGAATGCAGAGTGATTATTATTTCATAACAGAACTCCATTTATTTTTATAAATGTATTTAAAAATTCAAAACTTTTGGTTTTTATTGTAAAAATTTATTTTTTGTACCAAAGTTTGAAATCATTTTAGTAATTTTCATGTCCGACACGCCCACTCATGAAGTTCGAAAAAATTAACGCCCACTCATAGAATTTTTTTTTTCCGACGCTCATTAAAATTTAATCACGCACATTGAATCACGACATTTTAAATATACTATTAACTTTACAAATCTACCTTGAAATTGAAAGGTAAAAAGTCGTAATTGGGATTTTTCGGAAACATCTAGATGAGAAATTTATTTGATACAGAGAATGGAAATATTTAATACCATTCGCGAAATGGTGAAAAATTTATAATTCTCGAATTTTAAGTTTTGACTCTATTAAAATAACGATTGTGAGGCCATTAATTTCTTGAAAATAAGTGTATTTATTTTGGCAACACCTTATACCCAGTTTTCTTGCTGGATAATATTACCTAAATTTGACGAACGCAGAAATATTATATTTCACGTGTAAATTATAAGGATAATGAAATATCGATTTAGTTATATTAAGATTAATTGATCTGACAAAAAAAAACCTTTTTTTTTGTATAATAGATTCAGGGTTGTTAATTGTGTTTTAAAATCGGACCCATTTTGCTTAGTTATGTTTTAATCCGATATACCCCCCCCCCCCATAGGTTGTCCATCAGACATTTTTTTTTTGAACTCCCTCATCTCCAACAGATTAATTTTCCTTCAATTAAATTTTAAGTATGAGATTGCAACTTGTCTCACATGAGCAAATTTTAGTTTATATATTGTTTTTCATTGATTGTTGTTTGCCTTTAAAAAAAATATATCTTATTTTGATTATTATTATAGATTAATCAAATGTTTTTTAATTATTATTTTTTATGAATGTTTTTGTTTGTATGAATTTATCATGAAAACTCCTTGATTTTTTTTCCTATAAAATGTCTAAAGAAAAAGTAAGAAATATTTATCAATTTTTTTAAAATAATATTTTTTAAAAAAACAACCTATCACATGGACAATCGTTGAAATAACTAATCCTAATCAAGGGTGCTTACTTTGTTAGTTTCATATCATTTAGGCGTTACTATGAAATCAAATTTTTTTTTGATTTTGACTCGTTAAAACAAGATTTTACTCCAATAATGTATATTTTAGGTCTCCAATTAATATTATAGGTTTTAGGCGCTCTTTTGCCTCTCCCCATAGTTGTCCCGGTTCCTTAACATTCATCATGCACAAATATTCTCTCTGATTTGTAAAATTACCTGCGGAAAACACCAAGCCCCAAAAAGTTTATGGGTAAGTAATTCTTATTTCACTCGATTATTGATACCCTTTCAAACAGCTGTTCTATCTAAGGTTTTTATATCGAAAATTAAAATCGGAGATGAAAATTTTTGATAAACTTTTATTAGAATAAAATATTCTTCTTTATCATCAGTTTCTAAATTTCTGATTCATTTAAGGATACTCCGAAATTCTTTTATGCCGCCCGAATTCTCCTTCTCCATTTATTGATTCATTTTTTAATAATGCTATTTCCGGTTTTAATAATTTTAAATTCTCCCTTAATCAAACCCCGTCGCTTTTTTTTAGCTAGTTCTCTCACTTTCTCTTACACCAATCTTCCACAACTAAATACCCCCGGGCCCCGATCCCCAAACAAGGGTAAGTTTATCTCATTAATATCGGCGATCCCCTTACCCTTTCCGGAATCATATCTTTTTTATCGTTACAAATCGGCTCCAACTCTGCAAAACAGGCCCGATCCGACCCAAGTCTTGGGCTTGTTTTGAACGGTTTTACTCTAAGCCACTAATGAAAAATATGTTGATATACATATCTTTATCATTTTTTTTTTATTTTCAAGAAAATTCAGACTCCCTCTCCCAAAATAAACCTCTTATAGGTTAATGAATTAAAATTATTTTATTAATGGATCCCTGACCATTTATTTCTTCAGAAATGAGAAATTATGAAATATCAGTTATATATAAATTTTATAATAGCCCAAGATGAGAAAAATGTGTTTAAGTGGGGAAGGGGGGGGGTAGGAGGTAGAGGTTATAATCTGATCTCGATATCTCCTTTAACCCAGGTACGAATCTTTTTTCGTTTTTTTTGAGGGGAAGGTGTGATCTTTGCGAGTAAAACCATTTGCCTTGATTCAAATCGCAAGGAGTATTTTATAAGTGACGCTAATAATTGTAATGTAAAATACTACAATTCATTTAACTGACCAGCGCACTTGGCTATGATTGATCATTCGCGCTCTTTAATATGTTTATTTACTTGAATTGATCAAATAAATTACTCCCTAATTTTATAATATACAAACATTCTGCCAAAAATGACATAAATAATGAAATCTGCTATTCATTTCCATTTTTTAAAATAATCATAAAAGAAAATAAAGTTTAAACTAAATATTTTAATTTATATAAATGACAGTAAAACTTGTGCTTAAGCTTTATTATATTGTTAAGAACTCCCTAAAATTTGTTTTGATTTCTCGAAAACTATTAAATATAACTGAACCGAACCTGTCTCATATAAAACTTTCTCCAAAGGGTGCCTAAATTAGATCATTTTTATTCCTCTCATTATGATCATTTTTGATTGTTCGTCCAACTAATTTAAGAAGGTGCTTTGATTGGCAGACACATTATGCCTTTTTATTTTATATGTTATTTGCTATCTTTTTTTTCTTCTAATCTCGACATTTTCTGCAAATCTCTTGCTTATATTTTTTCATTTCATATAAACATGCGAATGATAGATATTCCTTCATTTTATAGTCATTTTATTTAGGTTACATGGTTAGGCTAATATATATAAGTGATTCAGATAAATTGGGATTTAATTTAATGTTGTAAAAAGTACTTTCGTTATTTTCGAAAAGTAACTAGATATATATAAGTTACATTCCTTAAAAGGAATAACTAGTCACATATCAAAATATTTTATAAATTATTTATGTATAATAATTCATCATTTTTAAATATAATTTAATATTATTATTATTATTATTATTATTATTATTATTATTATAGATATTATTAAACAAAATAATTTTGCCATTTACAAATTCTAATCTAAGGATTAAAATAAATTCGATTTTAAGCAAATAAAATAATTGCTCTGAAAAAAATATATGAAACGAACGTTATAATATTTAATTTTGTTCAAAGATATTGGGCCACTAAATTTTTATTTGACTTAATAAACTATTTTCAGTTTCTAGAAGGCCTACTACTTTTTCTCCAAAAATAACAGACAAAAAAGCAAACGTTCTACAGGCGCGTAACGAGTTACTTTTATATAAATATTCCTCATCTATTATCTTATCTCTTATATGATGATTTCCCAAATTCGAAATTATTATTTATTAAATATTAAGCTTAACCTACATAAATAACTCATGAGGAACATTCGTTTAGTCTACAGAAGCTTATTTTTGGAGAAAAACAAAACTTTAGACACAAATTTTGAAAACAGTTAATATTTTTTGCAGAAAATTTTCTATAACAAAATAAATTATGTTAATAATGATGGGTTGTATAAATTATTTGCAAAATAAATTATAATTAATATCTTTTGAATTGTAACTGTAATTACTTTTGAAATAATGTGACTAACCCATTTAAGAATGTCACTAGTTTTTTTTGTTGCTCCTCGTAATATCCTAAAACTAAATGTCTCAAATTAATATTAGGTTGAAACTCTTCCATTTTCTAAGCCTTTGAAAGATCTTACACACAATTTTTCAAATTTGGCTTGAAAACGACGTAAACCAAAGTTACCTACTACTTAATATAAAAAGATTAAACAATTTTGAGCAAACCCCTTGAGTAATGTTTTATGCCCTCTAGACTCCCCCTCCCCCACGAGCCAATGCGCCTTTGAGCCACCCCTGATGACTAAAGTAAGATAATTCAATTATAAAATGAATGACTATGTGTATTGACTAAGTGGATACTTCCCCTGAGGTGATTTTAATGACACAATTGATTCGTAATGCCGGGTTAATCATGGCCCTCTCCTTAATTTCAGGATGTTGATTATAATTTAATTCAAAATATAGATTACAAATATTCTAAATTTAATTCATATAATATTTTTTTAAAATTTTTTAGACCTCATCTAGCTCTGAATACGAATCGAAGCTTCATCCCAACACAACACTTAGGCCGAAAAGTTATTTAAGGCACCCTGAGCCTGATAATAAAACGGAAGGTCATTTGACCGATACCCCGAATATGGCAAATACTAACTCGAATACCGCGAGTCACAAAAAGTTTCGAAAAATAAGCAACGAATTGTATTCTTTACTTTCTGTGGAATCCTCCCTGGTGGCCCAAGCCAAGGGGCTCCTCTCCGACATGTTATTCATGATGGAAACCAAAACTGACGGTTATTCGACGACTGATTCCGTTTTAACTATTTCGATGTTTGAGCGGGTGCTGAGCGGACTGAAGAGCCTGAATAAGCTACTGGAACCCGTTCATGAAACTCTGCAGTCCTTGACCGATTATAATTATAGAGAGATCGGGTCATCTTCCCTCAGAAAGTATTACTTTTTACTTGGTTTTTAAAAAATCACTTCTTTTAACTCAACTCTTAAATACATTAATTTATAGATAATAATTGAGTGACGAATAAGAAAATACACTGACAGAATTTTTTTGTTGTTGTGCATCTAATTTTAAACAAAAAAAAATTGTAATTTGTAATCTGATGATAAAGAACATGCGATCAAGTTATTAAAGAAATTATATATCATTTCTTCTTTATAGAAATTATAATGCACATTAATATAATTAAATGTATCATTTCTTCTTTAAAATACGATTTTTTGATATCAAATTAGTTCCAACTAAAAAAAATGTTTGTTGATGTATACCTTGTTAATCACATCACTTGTCAGATTGACATATCAATAAAAATAAATTCTCTTCGAACAAAATGAATAATTCACTATTTGTATTCGTTACTATTCAGTTCTTCGAATCTTTATCGAATAGGTCAGATATATATTGTTTCATTTGCTTATAATTTAGTTTAATTTGATACCAGAAATGATATAATGTAGTTTTTTAAGTATATGGAATTTGTAAGGAATTATTTTTGGAAGTTAAAAAAAACAACTTATATATAGTGTTGTTAAAAGCTCTACTTGGGCTTATTTTTAACGGCCCGATTAAGATTTTAGCCAAAATAATATTATGTAAACTTCGAGATTTGGTTGATATTGGTCCAAACCTTTCTGTCACATAAATGGACATAATCTCCATGCTTACATATTTATTCTGGCTAATCTTAATCGGGCCGTTTTTAAAAATCGACCCAAATCTGACATTTTAACAAACATATTATCAAATTTTACGAATCATAAATATGATTTGTTTATAAAAAGAAGAATTCGCTTTTTTATTTTTCTAGAAGTTTCCCATTTTTAAGATTCATAAAATTTTAAAAATAATATACGATCTTGCCCAAAACATAATAAAATTAAATTCACAAACTTTTGAAACATTAATTATAATAAATAAATAAACTATTTATATATTAAAAAAACTATAAAATTTTATAAATTCTAAAATTTTACATGCGATTTCATTAAAATTTTAAAATTCGCTAAAGTTTTGAAACTTTTCAAATTTTTTTTCAAATTGTTATGGTAAAGTCTTAAAAAAATTTTAAATAAATGTATATAAAATTAACTAAAAACAAAAAAGAAAGAATATGATAAAATTTATAAAAATAAGAAAACTAGATGGCGTTACTAATTTGTTAAGCAAATTAGCTTAAATATATTCACGTTAATTACTTGCAAATAAATTGAATTGTATAAAATATTTTTTAAATTACAAATTATTTTTCATAATTGTAAAAAAAAAAGTTAAATTTTAAACGCTTAAATATTGAAAATTAGCTTGATATGGACATTACCAAAATAGTTCATATGCTATAATAATAATGATGCGAACATTTTTTTTACCCAATTATATCACTTCAGCTCCTCAAGATCCCCTAAATTTTGATTTTGAATAATAAAATAAAACGAAATATTGATTTTTTCCCCTCTTATATCAGAGACCTTCAGAGGTACCACCTGCACGGCCCGTCTGTAATTTTTAAAAAAATATATTTAATTTATTTTTATAGTTTATAATGGAGGTTTAAAATATTAAAATATACTGCCCAGTCCGGGTATATTTAAAAAAAATTAAAATCGGCCCAGCCTGCAGGTATCTCTCTTATATGATATTTTTGGGTATAAAATAAATAATGCCAGTTTAAACAAAACAAGTTGATCATTCATCAAAGATTTTAAATAAAGGAAATTCTATGGAATCTAAATCCCTTTTCTTCTCTATAGCAGCCTATTATAAAATTAAAAACATGTCCAAAATATAATTTCAAAATTTCAAAAAATTTTCGAATTTTTTTAAAATAGACTTTGAATTTTACCTAACCTTATATAAAAAAAATTATAATAAATGTTAAAAAATAAATGCCCTGAAACTTAGGTTCGAATCCAGCAAGAACCATATATTTTTTTTCTGAAGCCAAGGTGGTTCGGTCCTTATGATATATAGAATATCAAAGGCGACCGCATGATTCTGCCTATAAATATTTTAAAAATAGGTTTTATTGCTTAATAAAAATTGGCGTTATTTAGCATAGTTTGACGGGTATTATCACTGGTTTAATAATTGCGCGATAGAATCTTCTAATAATATCAATAATGTAATCATTTAAAATGAAGTAAGCTGCTGAAATCAGAGTCTGATTTTTTAAAAAAATGGAAAGTTATTTGAGAATTACAGCCAAATATAACGTAAATTTAAACGATTGAAAACACGAGGAAAATAAAAATAGTAACACTTTGTAAAATAAAAATTACAAATAATTGCTTATAATTTGAAGAGAGAAAAAATCAAGTCAGGCACGTAATTCAAAATTTAAAAATTAGATTTAGTCCGACTTCGACCGGACGGATTTGGATATGTTCATTCAGAACGCTACTGGGATTTTTTTTCAAATTCAATAATTACTCGCGGGAGGGGATTTTCTTTTTATCCCCGAAATAATTGAAGACTTATCCCCTTATTGGGTGTATAAAGTTAATGAAGTTACCTCAAATTAAAACAATTTTTTTTTTATAACGCAGGCCATTTTTAAAGGAACTGTATTATTAACATAATAAATCTATTTAACCTTAAAATGGAGATGAGTAAGAAACGAGACATACAAAAATAAGAAGAAACGTTTGTTGGGTACCAAGATAAGAGACATCATGACCTTTGTTACCTTAAATTTATTAAAGACTAAATACTAAACCCTAATCAAGCATTTTTACTTCATTCATGTATATGAATGAATCATTTAAAAGTGCCCTCAATTCCTAATAAAGATAAGAAGTTATGAATGCAACGCGATCTCTTATTTTGGATCTTGGCTCGTATATATTAAGTTATTAATATCAATTTTAACTCAAAAAATAATGGCAACTAATAAATTAAATATGAAATACCAGGTCCCATATCTATGTCAACTCACCACACCAGTTAGCCGTACTATCCGACTCTACCTCGACGCATTTGCAAGAAGGTCTAAATTTCAAGGGAGGAAAAAAACCTTCCTCTTCAGATACCGCTCGGCGCGAGATTATACCAGGGCAACGCTATTCCGATATAGATTTACCCTCCAACGACTTTTACGGGGGCCAATCGAACGACAGCGTCGGATTCGAGCCCACGCCTCAATATTTTAATTCGGCGCGTCGATCTATTAGCCAAATGGGCTTGCCTAAGGTTTTTTTTTAAAAAAGAAATATATATTTTTTATTTAAAATCGAATATGGCTATCGATATAATTACCTTTTTATATCAAAATAATAAAGTATATAGCTCCGAACGCGGTTCTTAATCTTACCAATATTGCTACTTTCTTTTTTTTCAAATTTTTTTAAATTTTACGCATAAAAACTTGTATAAATTGTTCCATTTTTAAGCTAGGAGCCCTGGAACACTAAAGCAATGGTCTGCGCGGCCTGCCGGGTCAGATAAATGGTATATTTATACTGGCAGTTACGGGCCGGGCCGAAAAACTCGTGGAATTTTTTTACGAGAGGGGGGTGTAACTGAAATATGGTTCCAAATCTCTGATTTTTAAGATAGCCATAAATATCCATTTTATGGCAAAATAAATACAAACTTAATTATATAATACCTATAAAAAAATATATATTATAATTATTTTTTCTTATCTTTAATCACGTCTATTGCTATTATGAGAGTTAGTTAGTTATCATTAACGAATAAAGATCGATTTTCAAAAAAAATAAAATGGAATATTTATATTTACTTCCATTCACTTTGTTAGAGCCTATAAGGCATCATTCATTATCGTTGTTTTTTCGTTTTTAATATTTATTTTATACAAGTGTGACAAAAATTTAATAAAAATTTTATTTTAAGGTTAAATTTACCTTTTTTTTAAAAAAAATAATAAAAAAAAATAAAATATTCATATTTTTGGAGATGAAGAAAGCGGGTGGAAATTTGAATTTTAATTCGTGTGGCTGCCGGAATATTTGGAAGGCTTCTATATGAAAGTGTTTTATATTTTTAAAAAAAAATAGAAATCGAATAAATATGAGCGTTTAGCGAAGGGTAGTTAGTGGGGAAATTTTTTTATTGAAAAAAAAATATATAAATGTCGTTGTTATTTATAATAAAGAAATGGGCGGATGAGAAGAAAATAGTAGATAAATTTTAACTCCGCATATACAATTTATTTTAGAGGAAAAAGATTTTTTTTAAAAACGCCATTAACATTTGAAAAAACTTTAATAAAGAATATCCTAAAGATATTATTTTTAGCTTAATAATTTCGATAAAGGGGACAGTAACAAGTTGTAATAATTAAACAGCGGCGAGTGTTATAAGTTCTTTTTTAATTTAGATCGAGCTAAGACCAAAACGGTTCACGACCATTCATCCTTCCTTTCTTTCTTTTTCATTTTCTCGTTAGATCAATCAATAGTTTTAGGTTATAGCAATACATTCTTTAATTTTGAAAAATATATTACTTTAATAAAAAAGAACTTTTATCGTGAATATCATAGTTTATCGTGGATACCATTCAAAGACCATCTCGCAATTTTTGTTTTATAGCGAAACTCTTAGATCGCGAATCCAAATTGTGAAAGCAATGCAGCGAATATTATTTTACTTAAAAATATTTACTTTTTAAGACCAGATTTTAAAATAGATGATAAGATCGATTCAATGATAGAGCTTTTTAATTTTTTTTGTTAACCTTAATAAATTTATCTGGAGCTTGGAATGGAACATAATATTTTATGCTACCTTGTCCTATTCTCATTCAACCTCTAAGTCGATATCCTATTTTATAAGAATCACTTAATAGAAACCTATGATTTGAGAATATTTTAATCACTGGGTTTCATTAAATCCTAGTTAACCTGGATCCTCACTGGAAGTGGAAAATAAAATTATAATCTAAGGATAGATAACAATCGAATAATTTAACAATTTAATTATGTTGAAATGATCTTTCATTTTAGACCATGTAGTTTTATAAAGTTCTTACAAATTTTTATTAATTTTTAATATTGTTTTTATAGGTTGTTTTAATTTTGTAGATATAGATTAAATAGTCATTCAATTTAGAGTTTAATTTAAGATTATCAATCAGTCTAAAATTATAAAGCACGGGGAATATTTAGCGAAATTATTTATGTAATAATTGCTAAAATTTTCTTTTAATTTCAAAAGGTTTATGGTAGAAGGAAAGGGGGTAAATTTATATCTGGGTTAAAAGAAACTGCTCAAAATGCCACATTCTCTGTTGTTAAAAGGCTCGATTTCGGAAATTTTATATGAAGGTTTTAGCCAAAATAATATTACGCAAGCCTCTAGATTTCGTTGAAATATGTCCAAACCTTTCTGCTATCCATGAGCGAAATCTCCAGGCTTGCATAATATTTTATGGCTAAATTATAGGGTTATTTGTTTTAAAAAATGGACATATAACAACTTTGCACTCACGATCCTGAGTGAGAGAGACCAAGAGACTTCGTGTATATGCATTTGCAGTAAAAGAATTCGCACTGGTAGAAGAATTTGCAGTATTGGATTCGCAATATCAAATTCGCAGTTAAATATTCACGGAAGTCAGGTAGAAATAAATATGCGATGATGGGTTTCGCTAATACTGTCCTCGCCGCAAAAGTTTGGCGGTAATGGTTTCTCGATAAGTAACATTCACGAAAAGTGTTTCGCCCATATAAGTTTTACTTAATTAACCTGACGCGATCAAAATTTAGATTCGAACAAAACAAACCACATAAAAAAAATTATAATAAAATGAAAGAAGGAAAAAAAGAGAAGAAAAAATAAATAAATAAAAGAAAGAAAGAGAAGAAAGAAGAAATAAATTGAAACAAAGAAAAAATTAAAATGTAAAGCTACAAAGGCAGGTTAATAACCTTTCAAATCATCCAATAATTTAGTTTTTATAATAAATAAAAAAAATTGATTTTTTTCTTGGTAATATTTTTTATTTCGTAATTTATTTTAAATATTATTATTTTTGCTTATTAAAAATTTCCCTATTAAACGTCATTGAAATCCATCGTAATAATAATATGTTACCTTCGTTGGTTCGTAAAGTTACTATAAAACTTCCTAAATTGACCATCTCTACAGAGTGAAGAACATCTATACAAAATGACCATATAAATAGTTTTTTCCTCGTGGATTTATAGATTAATCTACAAATCATACAAAAAATAATAGTGCACCTCCCACTTTTTTCCTCCAAAATGTAATTATTTTTTATAGAAATCAGTGCGCAAAAGTTACATACCTTCCCCATCACGACGCGTGTCCTCCATCGGTGGAATTTGGAACACAACGACATCCGCTACAGGAATCCCTATCTTGAACGCCACTTTGCATCCCTCTTCTAATCCCGTTCTTTCCTCGCAATCCCGCTTAGACGATAACAGAAAACAAGAACGAAACGAAGTCCATGGAGAAAACCGATTAAAACTACTATCCAACCTTAAAGTTGGATTTGATAGTTTTGAAGGTTCGAATACCGCCTATTCCTCTGAAACGAAGTACCGAAACTTTTTCGACGTCAATGAGGCCCGCGACGCGCACGTCATGAATAGCATTAATAACGATAGCGGAGTGTCTACTGAAGATTCTCCGCCGTTTAATGCTAGAGTCAATTTACAAGCCGGTAAATAGTTACCGTATGTCAAAAATTATAAGAGGGAAGGATTGAGTGAAGAAATTAAAGGAAAAAAGGAAAGATAGAAATAATGTAATATATAATATTAATATTATAATAATCGAAAAATATGAATAAGATATCCTTAACTAAAATGAGAAAAGTTTGCTGAGAAAATCATTAAAGATATAAACTTGTATCCTTAGATATCGCTAATCGTTATCCCCGCCAAGATAAGCCTCTTAAGTCGGGCCAATTAGAATTTGATACTTCTTCTTCCATAATTGGCGGTATAATTAAAGCAGGCCAATGTATTTCCTCTCAAAACAAGTCTTCACCTGTCGAAAGTTCCTCTGCGCGAAAGGGGGACGATACGACCAAGTCCTTATCGTCTGGGCCTAATAGTGTCGGAGCGGTAGATGGTACGCCGCTTTTAATTTCTCCCCATAAAAATAAGGAGGAGGATAGAAAAGAAAATGTCGAATATTCGGGTAAAACTGAGCCCGATCGCACCCGAAAGAGTGTCAAAAATGATAGGAAAAAGCATGTGATCGACGACAAAAATCTCGAAAAAAATATGAAGGACGATACGGATGTTGTTTTCCGTGAGGAAAAAAAATCCGTAGTACCGGAAAAAGTTTTTTTAATAAAATTTATTTGATGATTTTTAATTGCGTTTTCAAAATTTGAGAAATAAACCAAGGATTCTAATAGGAGAAAATGTGATAAAAAAATTTATAAGAGAGAAAAAGAAGGGCATTAAAGATTATTTTAAGAGTATAGATTTTTATTAGCAAGAAAGCTCTTTCCTCTCATCCTAATCAATACTCATTCATTCAATCATTTTTATCTCCTGTGCAAAAAAATATTTAGACGAAAGATACAGCCATAACCAGTCCCATGACGGGCGCCAATGATGGTAAGCGGATAATCGAGGTATACGACGGTACTATATATAAGTTGGACGAGCTCGAAAACGATCCGTTACTCAACCGCATCAATAACTGGGATTTCCCCATATTTGAGTTTTCGGAAAAGGCCGGTCCGACCACTCTTAGCCAGGTGATTATTATACGTTTGTTTCTTTCATATTGTTGCCATTCTTTGTTTTAAAATTTTTTTTTATGCATTTGCTCACTTTTGCCTAAACTGTTAGAAATTAGAAAATGTGCGAAAGCTTTTTATTTAATAAAAAATGTTTTATGAATATTTATTTTTTAAAAATATATACTATTATTATAAATCAAAACAAATATTTAAAAATTAAAATTTATTAGACTGATTTAAAATTAGGTAGAGTGTAGAACACTAAATCCTCTAGGAGGTAGGTTACTCGAATAATTAACGATTTTAAGTAAAATGACCGACGATTATATTATATTGTTTAGTATTTAAATCTTTTCTCCCAAAAATAGCTGGCGTATAGAATATTTTACGAGGCCAATTTGTTCGAAATTTATAAAATTCCCTTACGAAAATTCCTCAATTTCTTTCACGCTCTGGAAAGTGGTTACAAAGATAATCCATGTATGAAATAAAGAAGTTTTTTTTTCCACGTAGAAAAATAAGACAGAGAAACAATGTAAACTATAAGGGAGAAAGAAAAATTAGAAATCGTAAAAGAAAGGAAGAAACCCTATAAAATACAAAGAAGAAAGTAAGGATGCGAAATGTATAAAATGACAACGGATATAAAAATTAACTCATTAATTCTCTATTGTAGATCATAACAGAATACATGCGGCGGATGTTTTGCACGCCGTGTATTATCTTACATCTCAACCCATCCCAGGATTTCAAGAGCAATTGACATACCTGGAACACACATCTAATAGTCATATGCAATCATCCAATTTTCCCGCCAATTCGATCTCCAAAGCTTTAGGCTCTAACCCCTTAAACGAATTGTTCAGTATGTGATTCATAGCAAATCGATATTATTTCTAAAAAAATTGAATGAGAAATTCAAATATCTCATATTTTTTTCTCTTTCTTTATATTTAAGATTTTTTTAAAAAATTCCTTCAATTTCCTTATTTGACGTTTTTAATCAATTTTTTTAGGTTTCTTCTTATAATTTGTTTATTAATGAATTATTATTTTGTTTAAATTTATTATACTATCTAATTTTATATCTAGATATATTTTCCTCCTTTCTTCATAACTTCTCAGTAAAATTAAGTATTTAGGAGAATGTGAATTTTTTTATAAAAAATAGTACTTTTAAACATCAAAAAATAAAAGAAAAACACGAGTGTTGCCATGGCAATTCTAACGTTGCCAAGGATAAAAACGAGACGGATAAAAATAAGGATGAACCTGCTCAGGAAGATTTGACCGTACTCGACAGTCAGATGGGGATTTTGGCTAAAAATTTGAGCCCGCTCGAGGTTATGGCTCTTTACACGGCGGCGGCCATGCACGATTACGATCATCCTGGGCGAACCAACGCTTTCTTAGTATCCACTTCTTCCCCTCATGTATAATAAATTATCACATGTTTTATAAAGCCCAGAAAAATTGGAGGAAAAGAAATAAAGAGAAAAAAATGATAGAAAGAAAAAGTTTTCTTCGGGTTGATATCCTAATTTTTTAAAAAAATCTTTAAACTTTAATTGTCTTTTATACTTTTTTCGCCAAAATTATCCCTCATTCATTATATGCATCGAGCTTAGCTTTTCATTTATAACCTTTATTCATAATATAGGCCATCCTTTATAACGACAAGAGTGTCCTCGAAAACCATCACGCGGCCGCTTCGTGGAGTCTCTACCTATCGCATCCAGAATTTCAATTCCTGAATAATACAGACGACTCCGCCCCTTCATCTTCTACCCCAATACAAAATGATCAGCTGACTGGCACAGGTGGACAAGTTCCTAGCAATAAGGTGACACCCCGAACGAGGTCAACTGGTGGGCAACCCAATCCCATGAACAGTTCTTTTTCTAGTCTCTCTACAGGGGACTTCAAAAGGTTCCGGTACATAGTCATTGAGTCCATCCTGGCCACTGACCTTAAAAGGCATTTTGAGATATTGGCCGAGTTCAACGCCAAGGTTAATTTGTTGGATATTACCAAATATTTATATTTTATTTAATTTTTTTAAAAATTCTATTTTACCCTGCTGAATTATTTTTTAATAATTTATTCTATTTTTCTTAATTTCTTTAGTGTATTACTCTGAGCATCAAGTTTAAAAGAAAATTAAGACTATTTTGTTTTTTTTCTCATAAATTCTTAGAATAATCAATAAAATCAAAATTTTCAGTTCATTTTATTCTACCGCTAAGAGATATTGTCGTCTTATATTAGATTATCGACTTCTTCGAAAACACTCATTTTCGATGTTTATTTATGTAGAATGTGAATAAGCACCTTAAATCTCTTTAATCAGAGAAATACAACTTTTTTAGCCGATACTGATAATGACTGGTATCGTTTAGTAACGGCCCGTCATCTTTACTCTTAATATAATTTATTCAAGATCAACGAGGATGTGGGCGGCATAGATTGGATAAACGAATCTGATAGACTTCTAGTCATTCAGATGTGCATCAAATTAGCGGATATTAACGGCCCATGCAAACCAAAAGATTTACATTTGCAATGGACCCATAGGATAACCGAGGAATTTTATCAACAAGTTTTTGTTTTGATTTCCTATCCCAAACATTTTATGATTTAACAATTCTTCCAGTTCCTCTAGAAAGTTAAGTTTGGAACTTTTACTAAAAGGGTTTCCAGTTCCTAAAAATAATAATTGGGACCTAGTTTCGGTTCCAAACTATAAATTATGAGAATTAATAAATAATCCTTCTAATATGTATACCACAACATTTTAAAATAATATATATTATAATTAAGCACTTTTTTTATTAGAACTGGTTTTGGCCACTGGAAATTTTAAAATGGTTTCCGGTTCTTAGGGGTTCAGTTTCTGGTCCTAACCTGAATATAATTCAGTGGGTAGGGTGAGGGTATAACTTCTAAATCAACATTAATTATTGGATCTTCGGCTGACTAAAATAAATTAAGATGCTTTCTTTAAACAGCTATTATGCCCCCCACCCCATCTTTCCTTTTTTTAAATAATTTTCTGTTTCATTTTTTAAAGGAATTCATGTATTTTATTAAAATTATTTTCAACATATTTTGTATTTAAATTGAAAAAAATAAAATAGGGTGAAGAAGAATATAAACTTGGACTGGAAATTTCGCCTTACATGGACAAAAGGTATCCCCAGGTGGGAAAATTGCAAGAATCCTTCATAACTCACTTGGTAAGTATTGATATATTGATTAAAAAAACAATTTGCTAAACTACAATTTTGAATTAAAACAAAAAATCTTTTACAAAATTATTAATTATAATTTTTTCGTATATAAAACAGGTAGCTCCATTGATAAATTCATTTTCCACTGCAGGATTTCTTCCTGGCTATTGGGAATTCATCTATTGCGACGAGGAGACTCCCGACATTGCCGGTCAAGGGACAATATCACCATTTTCAACGACCGCTATAACCGAAAACCGACTGGGTTAGCCATTTAAAAAAATTAAAATCCTACAATAATAAGCAATATATTTTTTTTCAGATTATATTATTCTTTCTCCTTTCCTTCTTCTCTAGATTTTTTCCTACACTTAAAAGAACACATGTCGCATATATAAAAAATCTAAGTGCGTTATTATTTTTTTTTATAAATTTCTTCCAAAAATGTTCATTTTAAATAGTATTCTTGGATATCTTCAAATTTTCCTTTGCTATAAAAACTTTATTGTATGTTATAATAATTCGTTGCCTAAATTCCTATAAGATTGTTTAGTAAAAAAAAATGAAATAAAGTTTATAAAAAAGAAAGAAATATTGAATGGAAGAAAAATCATCAAAAGAATTAACGTACTTTTTTTAAACTTTTTTTAGATCAATCTGTAATGCAGACCAACTCGTTCCAAATTAGAAAAGAAAGTGACATCTTTGAAAAAGGTTAATAGTTTTTTTAAAGCTATATAAAGTATACTGTCCCTTCATTTAACCCTATTTTCGTGGTCGAAATCAGAGACCTTCATGAACTTTAATTTTTTAATCAAACCCGGCTCAAGTCCGCACATATTTAATATTAGAAAAGTTTCTCAAGCCCTGCCTAAGTCCATTAATTTTAAAACAAATTTCTCAAATCCATATTCAAAAATTTAATTCATTGTATTTAATGTAAATATATTTAAGCGTATATTTAGGCAACCATTTTGTTTGCAATTATTACATAAATAAATAAATTTTAATATTAAGATCTCTGATCGAAATTAGAATTTGGAAATTTGTAAAAAGATATATATTTTGAACAAAAAAAAATCTTAAGATCACATAATTGAAGGTTTTTTTTACGATAGAGATTTGAAATATTTTAGATCAAAATTATACTTGAATATTCTTTCAAAAAAGAATCCATGGTGATTAAAACGTTTTTTTTTCTTTTATTGTGAAAGAGCATTTTCAAACTCGGTCGAAATTAATAGAAAGTGAGAAAACAACTATATATGATTAAATTATAAAAACAAATGTTATACATACACTCCCACCCCCACACCCATTTACATTATATAAATCTTTCAAAACAAATCGTTTCCATTAAAGATACCTCCATGCGTAAGCGATGCGCTTTCAGCCATCTTACCCATTTCCTCCGCCAAAATCACATGTACTGGAACGAGATAATAAAAAACGACGAATTGCAAAGATCCGTCATTCTTAGTGTCAAGAAGAAAGTTAGCACTAAATCGTTGCCCCCTTTAGATATAATTATAACCGAACATCCATCAGAGAATAAGGAAGCACATCCAGGGCCTTAAAAAGAATACCCAGAAAAAAACAACATTTGACTACAAAAAAACAATAAATATAATAATAATTAAATATAGATCTCAAACCTAAAAAAAATTAAAATTTCCTAGAAATTTATTTTCTTCTATCGATCATTTACTACTAACTATTGAAATAGATATTTTATATCTTTTTCCATAAAATTTTTAAATGTTTATCACATACTTAAATGTAACCAAGAACCTAATGTAAGATTATATTATAGAATTAGCTTTCCATCTATCTTCGGCCTTAGATGTATTATATGTAAAATGTATTACCAATCGTTATAATTTATCGATAAATTAATTATTCGAATACCTTTTAAATAAAAGGGACAAGGATCTTATTCTGTAAATCTTAATTTTTAAGATTTCATTTTTCGAGATTCAAATTTTTTTCCCCATAGAATAGGTATGCTATATATAAAATAATAATAATATATTATATAAATTACCCTGATAAAATTTATTATTTTTTAAACGTACGCATGTAATCCGAACTGAGTTTATGTAATTTGTAATTGATGTACAATATTTAAAATGCATAATTATAACATAAATTATTACTATTAAAATATTTCTCTTGCAGAGATGGAGATACTATTATACATATTTTTAATATATCATACTTATAATTGTAAAAACGCGCTAAGTTGTTCCATTTCGTTGTCCCAAGCTTTTGTGCGTTAAATATTTGTAAATAATTTTTTTTTTAAATTATGTTTGCATTACTCATATATATATACAAATATGTTTTTTTTTCATATTTTTGTTTGCTAACTTTGAAGTTATTTATCATTGATATTAGTATAATATAAGATATTAAACCTTTTTGTCCCACTATCCAGCCTAAGTGTTGATGAACCGATTCTTTTAGTCCACTGCAAGACGGTAACCGATGTTTTTTGAAGATGTTCCTTAAAACTTTAGTAAAAAAATCTCTGAAAATCACTATCGATGTATAAGCCATAAAATATCAGCTCAGCTTTAATTGTTTTGAAATTTTTTTAACACTTTTAAGTTTAATCCCCTTTAACGCGTTAATTCCAATGCTACAAAAACTAATATAATGTTTCTGAGGATTAGGTATTCTTTTTCTTCCATTATGGTAGATAATGTGTATTTAAAAATCAATGTTCTTCATAAAATAAAGATTTGCTTTTTGAGTATATTCAATAACCCAATTAAAACTCAAAAAAAAATAAATAAATTCTTATATAGGATATAAATATTTGTATCAAATGTCGGCTCTTGGAAATTTTTGAATGGGGTTTTCGACCCTAACCATTACAATTTTATACAAGACATCCATTCCTTTATTTATATAGAAATAAAAGTGTCTAATTTCTTTGCTCTTCGAAATAAAAATTGCGAAATCCCGCCCCGGCTCATAAAAATATTTCGCAAGTCACTCTGACAAAAAAAACCCTACCACCCCTGCAAAACGGATTGTTCCGATCTCCATATGCCTGTATACTTAGCCATTCGTTTTCTGGTAATTATAAAAAAAATCTTAATTCGTTTTCATTTCGCACGATTGTACTTCCTTCTATATGAAATATCCTCCTGATTCCCATTTCTTTTTTTTCATGTTTATTTTTCAAATAAAGTTAGTTTTAACCATGTATATTTAGTTTTAGATTTCTTTATGTAAAACCATTTAGTCAAATATCGCCACTTGACAAGTAGTATTGGAAATCTGCTTAAATCCCGAGGTTACCCCCCAAAAAACTAGGCATGCTCGCATTCGAATCAATTTGAGTTAAAGGATTTTTCATCATTGCCGTTTTATTCTTTTTATTTTTAAAAACAATTTAAATCCAATAAAAATATTAAAAAAGTAAAACATGCAAAATAATTTTTTAAATTAAAGGGTTCCTTAGAAACTCAAATCTCACACCGCGATTTGAGTTGTTTGTAAATTTTTATAAAAGGATCCACGATCTTCATTGAAATAAAATGATCAAACATTTGGGACACGACGCAGTTCTGTTCAAGATTGATGCACTTGAGACGTTCTGTCCAAGGTTAGCATATTGTTTTTTAGAAAAAGCGAAATAAATTTTTTTTCACGATTTTAAATGGTAAAAAAAAATGAATTTTCTTAAAAAATAAAATTAATACCTAGCATCCTTTGAAAAATAAGAAGTATTTAGTATTTATTAATGTATTTATAATATTAATGTGAAAGAAATTAAAGAGAATGAATGACCATGTAGAAAATAATGAGAAATAGTAGGGCGACCATACTTGTATGGGTCTATTTATAAGTTCAATTTTATATGTATTCGTTGTCTAACTATTAAAATAATCATCTTAACATAGTGATTTATTAATATGTCCTTTATTATTATTTTTTTTTAAGTTAGTCTGATTGTATAAATTAATAAAAAGGGAAAATTTTTGCCTTTGGAGCCTAACACATTTTGTTGAAATAAGTGTGGAATGAAATTAAGATGCTAAATGATCATGATATTTTCCTAATTTGTGACCTTTCAAGCTAATATAATCGTCTGAATTTTGGTTGGAAAAAAACTGAGAAACCGGTAAAACCCCAAATAGATATTTTATGCAAAAATGACAATTTGGTGGCATTTTATCACCGATCAAAGATGGGTATACAACTTGAGGTGGTGGTAGGCCAAATTGATTCATTCGAAATTTCGCCCTAAACTTTTGTATATTTTTTTTTTGATTTACTTAAAAATCCTGTATACAAAGGCCGTATTTTAATTTTTTAAATATATCCGCACCGGGTCTAAAATTTTTAAAATACCCACATCGGGCTTAAAATTTTTTTTCAAAAAATAGCCGGGCTGGGCAGTATATTTTAAGACCAAATATTTTAAATAGCCATTATTAGCTATAATTACAAATAAATAATATACATTTTAAAAAATCGGTTTCGGGAACGTTTTTTAGATCATCTCATCCCGTTCAATATACCTGGTCAGAAAGCATTTTAAAAATGTAACAACTAGTTTGTGAACCCAGCGCGTATAAATATAATGTCATAAATATTGATTTTTATTTAATAATATACTACATAATTCGATCATTATTATTATATTATTAATATAGAGATAAGGAAACTATTGGGGACTTGGATCTTAAGTAAATTTAGGAGAGCTCTTTCAAAATTTTTTTAAAATACAATTGAAGCAAAAAAATTAAAGAATATAATTGAAAGCAGATAAAAAATTATTAAATTTCATTTTACTTTCAAAGATTTTGTCATGGAGTCCCGAAAAATTGAAAGGTCTGGTAATGCTCTTGATATGAGTTATGTGATATGATTATATAAATAATATTATTTTTTCATAAATTTAATTCTATTTTTATAATTTGTTTTATAAATTTATAATATATAATCTTTAGTGCTGTAAAGGTAAACGTTGCTTCAAAAAAAACGCGTTTATTAGTCCCTTTAAAGAGGAAACACGTTTCTTATTAAAAAAGAAGGCGTTACACGCTACATAAAAAATACTAAATATATATATGATTTTATTTTTTTTATTAGATAATAAAAATATCAGATAAGTTCTTTTTGTAATTATTTTTTATCCATTTTTAACATTTTATTTACAAAACCTTGATCAAATAAACAGGAGCGCTTAGTGCTAAACAGAGAGGAGGATTTTATTATATTTAATAAATAAAAAATTTAACTGGAGGAATTTATTAAAAAATTTAAAGAATGATTTTTTATTCTCAAGAAATTTTATTAAATCATCTTCACAAGAATCTTCATTCAGATACTCATCAATTTTTTTTTTATATCTTCATCAGAATTAAATCTGTATTCATATTTTTCATATGTTTTTTTAGATTTAGTTGCTGGGCATCGAGGTTAAAATATTTGATTAGGGCACAATTTAAGCTTTAAAGTGTAGATTTAGTGCTCTTTTAATCGTTTAAAAAACGATTCATACTGGAGTCAGGGCCGAGTTAAATTATCTTCATCTAAAGAAATAAGTACTATTGACATATATTATTTATAAAATTGATTATAATATTAAAGAACACGAATTAACACACTTTGATTGATTCTATATTAATCAGATTAACAATCTTAACTGTAGAATTTAAGAGCAAAAATTTAATAAATAAAATAAAAATGAAAAACGTTGGTGGTTGATCTGAAATAAAAATTTGTCTTAAATTATAAAATTTTAATAAAATAAAAAATATTTTTTCCAAATTTTTTAAGAAAAAGTTAAAGTAACGAGAAAAATAAACACTTCACTCGTTACTCTTTAAACAAGTAACGAATGGCGTTACTATTCCACAAAAAAGGTAACGGCTTTAATAACAACGTTACTTTTATCGACGTTACTTTACAGCACTGATGATTTTTGATTTATATAAAATAAAAAGCAGCCTAAATTAAAAAAAATAAATATTAGATAAACTCTTGGACTCAAATTTTTTAAAAAATGGGTTCCGTTCATGTTTATAAGGAGTTTGAGATTGGATCCGGGTAAGGTTTATAAAAAAGAACTCTGGTATTCGGTTCATGGCTTCATGTTTAATCTCACAAAAATACCTTCTGAACAGGATTCTCAGCTCCGGGTTAAGATTCGCTTCAAAGCCATTCTAATATTAATAGCCTACTCTTGTGAGAAACATTGGATTTTTATTCATTACTTCGAAATTTCAATGATTATTAAACAATAATATTTAATTTAGAGTGGGATTATTTTTATTTCGAAATTGATTTAACGAATTACTATTTATAGTGTTAATTATAAATAAGATTTTACCTTGATACTTATATTTTTAAATAACCTATTACAATGTAAATAGAAATGTTCATATTTACTTAAATCGCTATCGAATCAAAATTTAAAAAAAATGTAAATCTTCGATTTTTTGCAAATATTTCCAATGATTTATTGTAATAACCTAACTGTTTCCGAAATTATTTAAAAATCAAATCAAAGTTTAGCTCGTTTAGATTGGACTTCTTTCTGATTTTGGGTTAATGTATATTGTGCATTTTGGATATTCATTTCATAATTTTATTTAATTCAGGATTTTTTTGGATGGTGTATGAAAACATTGCTATAAATGGTCATAAAGAATAAATAATGCTTTATCTCATACAGCATCCATAATTTTTGTTGGACCTGCCCCACGAAAAGGTAGTTCATTTATGCTAAGAAGTAGTATCGAATCAAATATGATTTAAATAACGATTAGGGTTAATTTGATGTATCTCGGTGTCCTTATTTATATTAGGATTATTATCATGCCATATTGTTATTAAATTTAAATGAGCTACTAAGCTTCCATTTTATTGCAATCCCTTCTTTGAGGTTAACGCATTTTACGAATTTCTGAATCTAGTATTGTTAAAAACCCGATATTGATCGATTTTTAAAAACGGCCCGAGGATTTTAGCCCAGGGATGCGAACCCAGCAAAGTTTTGCTCAGGTTCGGTTCGTGTTTGGTTTAAGGTAAAATAAAAATAGGTGGGTTTGTTTGGGTTCGTAAGGGAAATATTTATG